CAGGGAAATGAGTGAGCTACTCAAGTCCCAATATGACTCAGTTTTAGCAAGCCCCTAACCAGACTAAGAGTCGAAGATCAAAATGAATTTTTTATGAGGGGCCACAGAATTTGGTTAACACGCCTATCCGATGTTATCCTGACGCCAAAAGACTTCGAACAGGCGATAAATGACATGCCCCTGCACTCTGCCCCAGGGCAGGGCTCATGGAACTCCGTGTTCATCAAAAACTGCAAGAAGCCCTTCACGAGCCTTTTCCATTATGGAGAGGGAGCATGGACAGGGGGTCGTCCCACAGTTAAATAAAACAACAGACATGCCTACTCCACAAAGGGGGCAGTAAAGCTACAGCAAAGAATACAGACCGATAGCACTAACATCCCATATCATAAAAATCTTTGAAAGGGTCCAAGAAGCAAGATCACCACCCATCTAGAAACCCATCAGTTACACAACCCAGGGAAAAATGGTTTAGAACAGGTCGCTCCTGTGTGTCTCAACTATTAGATCACTACGAAAGGTCCTAGATGCACTAGAAGACAATAAATGCAGATGTAATATTTACAGACTTTGCAAAAGCCTTCGACAAGTGTGACCCTGGGCGTAATGTGCACAAAATGCGTGCTAAAGGAATAAAAGGAAATGTCGGTCGATGGATCATAAATTTTTCCCCACTAACGAACACAGAGAGCAGTCATCAACAGAGTAAAGTCCGAGGCAGCTACGGTGAAAAGCTCTGTTCCACAAGGCACAGTACTCGCTCCCATCTTGTTCTCATCCTCATATCCGACATAGACAAGGATGTCAGCCAAGCACCGTGTCTTCCTTTGCAGATGACAACCGAATCTGCATGACAGTGTCTTCCATTGCGACACTTTCAAAAGGGTCCAGGCGGACATCAACCAAAACTTCCAGTGGGCTGCAGAATAACAATATGAAGTTCAACGATGAGAAATTTTTAATTACTCAGATATGGTAAACACGAGGAAATTAAATCTTCATCAGAGTACAAAACAAATTCTGGCCACAAAATAGAGCGAAACACCCAAAGTCAAAGACCTGGGAGTTTATTTATGTCGGAGGATCTCACCTTCAAGGACCATAACATTGTATCAATCGCATCTGCTAGAAAAATTTACAGGATGGATAATGAGAACCTTCAAAACTAGGGAGGCCAAGCCCATGATGACCCCTCTTCAGGTCACTTGTTCTATCTAGGGTGGAATATTGCTGCACACTAACAGCACCTTTCAAGGCAGGTGAAATTGCCGACCTAGAAAATGTACAGAGAACCTTTCACGGTGCACATAACGGAGATAAAACACCTCAATTACTGGGAGTGGCTTGAGGTTCCTAAACCTGTATTCCCCGGAACGCAGGAGGGAGAGATACATGATTATATACACCTGAAAAATCCTAGAGGGACTAGTACCGAAAATTGCACACGAAAATCACTCACTACGAAAGCAAAAGACTTGGCAGACGATGCACCATCCCCCCAATAAAAAGCAGGGGTGTCACTAGCACGTTAAGAGACCATACAATAAGTGTCAGGGGCCCGAGACTGTTCAACTGCCTCCAGCATACATAAGGGGGGGGTTCCAACAGACCCTGGCAGTCTTCAAGCTGGCACTGGACAAGCACCTAAAGTCAGTTCCTGATCAGCCGGGCTGTGGCTCGTACGTTGGTTTGCGTGCAGCCAGCAGCAACAGCCTGGTTGATCAGGCTCTGATCCACCAGGAGGCCTGGTCACAGACCTGGCCGTGGGGGCGTTGACCCCCAGAACTCTCTCCAGGTAAACTCCAGGTATGTATGCTGGGAGGCAGTTGAACAGTCTCGGGCCCCTGACACTTATTGTATGGTCTCTTAACGTGCTAGTGACACCCCTGCTTTTCATTGGGGGGATGTTGCATCGTCTGCCAAGTCTTTTGCTTTCGTAGTGAGTGATTTTCGTGTGCAAGTTTGGTACTAGTCCCTCTAGGATTTTCCAGGTGTATATAATCATGTATCTCTCCCACCTGCGTTCCAGGGAATACAGGTTTAGGATCCTCAAGCGCTCCCGGGTAATTGAGGTGTTTTATCTCCGTTATGCGCGCCGTGAAGGTTCTCTGTACATTTTCTAGGTCAGCAATTTCACCTGCCTTGAAAGGTGCTGTTAGTGTGTAGCAATATTCCAGCCTAGATAGAACAAGTGACCTGAAGAGTGTCATCATGGGCTTGGCCTCCCTAGTTTTGAAGGTTCTCATTATCCATCCTGTCATTTTTCTAGCAGATGCGATTGATACAATGTTATGGTCCTTGAAGGTGAGATCCTCCGACATGATCACTCCCAGGTCTTTGACGTTGGTGTTTCGCTCTATTTTGTGGCCAGAATTTGTTTTGTACTCTGATGAAGATTTAATTTCCTCGTGTTTACCATATCTGAGTAATTGAAATTTCTCATCGTTGAACTTCATATTGTTTTCTGCAGCCCACTGAAAGATTTGGTTGATGTCCGCCTGGAGCCTTGCAGTGTCTGCAATGGAGGACACTGTCATGCAGATTCGGGTGTCATCTGCAAAGGAAGACACGGTGCTGTGGCTGACATCCTTGTCTATGTCGGATATGAGGATGAGGAACAAGATTCAAATTCAAATTCAAATGCAAATTCAAAGTTTATTCTCTATAAGGATTACAATGCTGAGTTAACAGAAATTTGGTTATTGTGTGGTTTACATGTAGTAAAATTGTGATTAGAGAGTGTACCACTAGAACGCTTATTCGGGCAGACTTAGTTTTATTCTTAATTGTAAAATATTACAAATTATGAGGTAAGTTGGTATTATGGCTAAGTGACTAAATACTAGTTTGTGAGTTTAGCAATGTGAATGCTTTTGTTTTGGCACAGTACATAGTTTCAGTATTGGAGTATCACAGGATTCATTATTTTAAGATTGAGATTAATATTTTCCCTTTTTAGGGGTCAAATGATGAGTGAGTGTAAGTGTGAACCACCCGGTGGGATTCGTTTTAGTTAGTTTACGGGTGTATAGGGGAGATTTAAAATGTTTTTAATGGTGTTTTGAAGGTGATGAAAGTGTCTGCCCAATTTTAAAAGTTCCCCAGGTAGGGGATTCCCAAATTTTGGGGCCCTTTTACATACATTTAATTTTTTGGAAGGTTTTGTCGGACACGGGGGGTGTTTTTAAATTTTGTGTCCTGTGTTTTTGCCCCGTGGGTTTTGTCCCCAACAATTTAAGAAAAACTTTTTGGGCAAGGGTTTTATATTAAATTTTAAAGGGGCCCCGTTTTTTGTAGATTGGGACATTTGTAAGTGTGGTGTATGAATGGGGGTAAGGGTTTTTAGGTCTATGGGAAGGAAAAGGGGGGGGGGGGGGTTTTGCCAAGGATGGGGTTTTTTGTGATTAAACCCTTTTGCACTTTTTGTTGGGTTATTAAATTTGGGTTTTGGTGTGTTTTCTGCAGTTGATCCCCCAAACACAAAAAAGCAAGGGAGGTATTGGGGTTTAAAAAAGTGAGTGGTTTTGTGTTAGAAGGGCCCTTTTGCGGCACGTAGTATTTGTTTTCTTGGAGAGGAACCCCCAAACCCTTTTGGATACTTTTTTGGTTATATGCTGGAAAAGGGTTTCTGAAATTCAGGTGTTGTCAAAGGGATAAAGGGCCAAGGGAAATTTTCCCCCCCTTAATTTTTGGGGAATTAGAGGTTTTTTTAAAATTTTAGCATTCCTGCTCTGGTTTTTTCCCCCAAATTTAAAGTGGATTGGGGGCGAGTAAATTGCCTTTTGGAAAAAAAGACTTTTTACCGTAGGCCCCGGAATTTACTCTGTTGACTACACTCTCTGTTTCTGTTTTGAGGAAAAAATTTTAAAATTATTTTATTTTTTATTATTTTTCAAGGGGGGAACAAACGACCGACTTTTCCTGTTTTTCCTTTTAGCCGGGATTTTTTTGCGCCCATTACGGGGCCAAAGGTCAAAACTTTTTGAAGGGGTTTTGCCCAAAAACTGGTTTTATATTAAACTGCATTCTTTTTGCTTCAGGCATTAAAGGGCCTTGTCGTAGTTTTCCAAAAGGGTTGGGGGACAGACCCGGTCGAAACCTTTTTTTCTAAACCCATGTTGCCCTGGGTTGTGTAACTGATGGGTTTCTAGATGGGTGGTGATCTTGCATCATTAGTATTTTGATTAGGCCTGAATCCAAATTGGCAGGGGTTGAGTATGTTTTGGGAGATGAGGTAGGAGTAGATTCGTTTATGAATTAAATTTTCGAAGATTTTTGAGAGAGGGTGTAAGTTGGATATTGGCCTATAGTTATTCAACTCTGATCTCCTTTATGGATCGGGGTGACATTTGCTATTTTGAAAACTGTAGGGAGGTGGAGGATTCAATGGATTTGTTAATGTATAATAAAATGTTAAACGAACTGGCCCCTCAAGGAAGGTTCCTTGATGTTGGTGAGGGGCTCTTGATTTAGGGAATTGGATCTGTGCTCCAGTTCCCCGAATTAAGCCTGAATGCCTTCCACATCCCCCCCCCCCCAGGCGCTGTATAATCCTCCGGGTTTAGCGCTTCCCCTTGATTATAATAATAATAATAAACGAACTGGGTAATACCTCAGCAAATACCTCTTAGTAAATTTCATGTATCCTGAAGAACAAAAGATAAGATTTTCTTCGGATTTTTAACTCGGCAGAGTTACCTACCCAGGATAACCCAAGAAAGTTAGTGTGTCATAGAAGAAGAAGGACAAACAACAAAATCATTATTATTATTATTATTATTATTAGTATTAGTATTATTATTATCATGGGGGAGCGCTAAACCCGTAGGATTATACAGCGCATGGGGGGATGGAGGGTATTCAGGCTTAATTCAGGAAGCCGGAGCACAGCTCCAATTCCCTAGATCAAGATCCCCTCACGAGCATCAAGGTTGAGTGGCACAACAACAACAAGCAAAGAAGATAAAGTTGAAGAAAGTGTTAAACAAGTGGTGGTAAGTTTGAGTGGCCCTGAACCACCACCACCACTTACAATCATGTGATTTAGTACAAGATACCAACCACGTATTATAACAAGTCTACACTGGTTACACAGTCAACTTGAGAAGCAGTGCAGGTATGGTGAAGGTGTTGACAAGCAGCAGTAGTGAGGTGAACCCCACCACTAACACCACTCGTAGCAGAAGCAACTTCAGGCGAACTCCATCTACACACATCTTTCAATACTGGTTAATTACGCACTTTCTTTTTTAAGTTATGACAGATGCATTCAGTTATAAATGACCTAAGAATATATTGGTATATTGCATAGGTACAAACTATGAGTGTCAGTGTGTGCACAGTGGCTAATTCCTTGTTTATTTTTTTTTTTTTTGGGGAGGAAGGGGGTGAAATCTGTACATTATTCCCGTGTGTCATTGAATGATTTCTCCAGCTAAATAATCCTTTATTAATGTGCATGTGTATTTGAGATAATCTTTATATGTGGAAATATAAGAAAAACCATTGTGGCCTAAGTTAACCCACAATATTATTATAACTAAACCTAACCTTACCTTTACCCTTACCTTTACCCTTACCTTTAACCCTTACCTTTACCCTTACCTTTACCCTTACCTTTACCCTTACCTTTACCCTTACCTTTACCCTTACCTTTACCCTTACCTTTACCCTTACCTTTACCCTTGCCTTTACCCTTACCTTTACCCTTACCTTTACCCTTACCTTTACCCTTATTTTCATCCTTATTTTCATCCTTTCTTTTATCTTTACTTTTACCCTTACCTTTATCCTTACCTTTATCCTTACCTTTATCCTTACCTTTATTTATTTTATTTATTTATTTATAATTTGAGCACACTTACAGAGGTACAAAAAAAAATACAGATAAGAGCAGCATGCTCTTATCTTACCTTCATCCTTACCTTCATCCTTACCTTCATCCTTACCTTCATCCTTACCTTCATCCTTACCTTCATCCTTACCTTTACCTTACCATTATTAAGCCTAACTTACCTCTTAATAAATAATGATGTTCACATTGCTGGTAAAATGGAAAACTTGTAATATTACTTCAGAAATTAAGCCAGTGACACAGTCACTTAAGGAGACCTGGAGACCTGGAGAGAGTTTCGGGGGTCAACGCCCCCGCGGCCCGGTCTGTGACCAGGCCTCCTGGTGGATCAGCGCCTGATCAACCAGGCTGTTGCTGCTGGCTGCACGCAAACCAACGTACGAGCCACAGCCCGGCTGATCAGGAACTGACTTTAGGTGCTTGTCCAGTGCCAGCTCACCAGCTCACTGGCTCATCAAGTCATTATTTATCTTATTATAGCAAATATCTTGATAAATAACAATTTCTGCAACAGATAAATATGTTTCCTGTGTTATGGATAAGAATTTATTGTGAAGAGTGTGTATTGTTGATGGAGTTAGTCCCTGGAGCAAAGTGCATGTTGACCTCGTTTTTCTTAATCTGTAGTGGGAAGTCTTCATTTTTACCTGTGACTGGTTTTTAAGGGCTCTTTCACACCCTCGGCCTGGCCTGAGGTCAAACTTCCCTCTTGACTACCTGGTCGGCTAAGCTATTGGTGCTAGTGTTCTGCTGGTCCACTAAGCCCTCACAACCAGGGCGATTTGGCACTTATAAGCAGAAACTGGCCAGTTTATTTTTTTTAATTCTATCTTCACTTTGGCAGTATTTCCAATATATATTTATATATATATATATATATATATATATATTATATATTTTATATATATATATATATATATATATTTTATATATATATATATATATAAAATTATATGTGTATGTATGTTCTGCCCAGTGCATGTAGTCACAGCTTCTCTTTCTTCAACATTTAACAGTTTTTCAAAATATTCCCTCCATCTCCCCGATACCTCCAACTCTCCACCTAATAACTCTCTCCTATTTTTAACTGTTAAATCCACTCATTGCCTAGGCTTTCTCAACTTATTAATCTCGCTCGCCTCACGGGTGACCCCGTGGCTCTACCTTCACTCATAGAGGGCCCAGGTTCAATTCCTGGTCGGTTAAAATATTTTGCTTTGTTTCCTTACACCTGTTGTCCTGTTCACCTAGCAGCAAGTAGGCACCTGAGTGTTAGTCGACTGGTGTGGGTCGCATTCTGCAAGACAAGATTAAGGACCCCAATGGAAATAAGACAGACAGTCCTCGATGACTCGCTGACTTTCTTGGGTTATCCTGGGTGGCTAACCCTTCAGGGTTAAAAATCCAAATGAAATCTTATCTCACCCACACTCTCATTTGCTTTACTACATTCCTTCACCACTTGGTGGCCCTGTGGCCTGACTGGCAAAGCTCTTGCTTCACACACGGAGGGCCCGGGTTTGATTTCAGGCAGGGTAGAAACATTTCACTGCGTTTTCTTACACTGCCTTTCTTGGGTTATCCTGGGTAGCTAACCCTTCGGGGTTAAAAATCCGAACGAAATCTTATCATATCTTATCTCTCTTAACCCCTCTTTTTCTCTCCATATACTCCTCCTTCCTTACATTACCTGTACTTTGTAAAAATCTTTCATATGCTAACTCTTACTACTCTTTACCTCATCATTCCACCAGTTACTCTTCTTCCCTCCTGCACCCACTTTCCTGTAGCCACACACTTCTGCTGAACATTCTAGCACTGCTTTCTTAAATCTCTCCCATACCTTTTCAGCCTCATTGCCAGTACTCTCACTAATCCATCTTTCTTCCAGTAGCTGTTTATATCGTACTCTAACTTCCTCCTCCTGTAGTTTATAAGCCACCTCTCTCTAACTTGATTATGCCATTTTCCTTGTATCCCCTCAACATTTTACTCCCACTGTAGCTACAACTAAAAAAATGATCTCGTATGTCTGTGGCCCATCTATAAGCATGCACTTCCTGAAGTCTACTCATCACTCTTTTATCTACCATTACATAGTCCAGCAAACTACAGACATTATTCCCTATATCATATCTTGTATACTTATCCTTTTTTTTTTCTTAAATTTTTTTTTTTTTTTTTTTCAAGTGGGCCGTCTCCCACCGAGGCAGGGTGACCCAAAAAATAAAGAAAATCCCCAAAAAGAAAATACTTTCATCATTCAACACTTTCACCACACTGACACATTATCACTGTTTTTGCAGAGGTGCTCAGAATACAACAGTTTAGAAGCATATACGTATAAAGATACACAACATATCCCTCCAAACTGCCAGTATCCCAAACCCCTTCTTTAAAGTGCAGGCATTGTACTTCCCATTTCCAGGACTCAAGTCCGACTATATGAAAATAACCGGTTTCCCTGAATCCCTTCACTAAATATTACCCTGCTCACACTACAACAGATCGTCAGGTCCCAAGTATCATTCGTCTCTATTCACTCCTATCTAACACGCTCATGCACGCTTGCTGGAAGTCCAAGCCCCTCGCCCACAAAACCTCCTTTACCCCCTCTTTCCAACCCTTTCGAGGACGACCCCTGCCCCTCCTTCCTTCCCCTATAGATTTATATGCTTTCCATGTCATTCTACTTTGATCCATTCTCTCTAAATGACCAAACCACCTCAACAACCCCTCTTCTGCCCTCTGACTAATGCTTTTATTAACTCCACACCTCCTAATTTCCACACTCCGAATTTTCTGCATAATATTTACACCACACATTGCCCTTAGACAGGACATCTCCACTGCCTCCAACCGTCTCCTCGCTGCTGCATTTACCACCCAAGCTTCACATCCATATAAGAGTGTTGGTACTACTATACTTTCATACATTCCCTTCTTTGCCTCCATAGATAACGTTTTTTGACTCCACGTATACCTCAACCCACCACTCGCCTTTTTTCCCTCATCAATTCTATGATTAACCTCATCCTTCATAAATCCATCCGCCGACACGTCAACTCCCAAGTATCTGAAAACATTCACTTCTTCCATACTCCTCCTCCCCAATTTGATATCCAATTTTTCTTTATCTAAATCATTTGATACCCTCATCACCTTACTCTTTTCTATGTTCACTTTCAACTTTCTACCTTTACACACATTCTCAAACTCATCCACTAACCTTTGCAATTTTTCTTTAGAATCTCCCATAAGCACAGTATCATCAGCAAAAAGTAACTGTGTCAATTCCCATTTTGAATTTGATTCCCCATAATTTAACCCCACCCCTCTCCCGAACATCCTAGCATTTACTTCTTTTACAACCCCATCTATAAATATATTAAACAACCATGGTGACATTACACATCCCTGTCTAAGACCTACTTTTACCGGGAAGTATTCTCCCTCTCTTCTACACACCCTAACCTGAGCCTCACTATCCTCATAAAAACTCTTTACAGCATTTATTAACTTACCACCTATTCCATATACTTGCAAATCTGCCACATTGCTCCTCTATCCACTCTATCATATGCCTTTTCTAAATCCATAAATGCAATAAAAACTTCCCTACCTTTATCTAAATACTATTCACATATATGCTTCAATGTAAACACTTGATCTACACATCCCCTACCCACTCTGAAGCCTCCCTGCTCATCCGCAATCCTACATTCTGTCTTACCTCTAATTCTTTCAATTATAACCCTACCGTATACTTTTCCTGGTATACTCAATAAACTTATTCCTCTATAATTTTTACAATCTCTTTTGTCCCCTTTCCCTTTATATAAAGGGACTATACATGCTCTCCGCCAATCCCTAGGTACCTTCCCCTCTTTCATACATTTATTAAACAAAAGTACCAACCACTCCAACACTATATCCCCCCCCCTGCTTTTAACATTTCTGTCATGATCCCATCAGTTCCAGCTGCTTTACCCCCTTTCATTCTACGTAATGCCTCACATACCTCCACCACACTTACATTCTGCTCTTCTTCACTCCTAAAAGATGGTATACCTCCCTGGCCAGTGCATGAAATTACCGCCTCCCTTTCTTCCTCAACATTTAAAAGTTCCTCAAAATATTCTCGCCATCTACCTAATACCTCCCTTTCCCCATCTACTAATTCCCCTACTCTGTTTTTAACTGACAAATCCATACTTTCCCTAGGCTTTCTTAACTTGTTTAACTCACTCCAAAATTTTTTCTTATTTCATTAAAATTTCTTGACAGTACCTCTCCCACTCTATCATCTGCTCTCCTTTTGCACTCTCTCACCACTCTCTTCACCTTTCTTTTACTCTCCATGTACTCTGCTCT